CCTTATGTATGAATAAAAGGCTTTGGGATTTTCCTTAACCCTGTTTGCTAAAGATATTTCATGACCCCTTTTAGCCCTCTTAATTCCTCGTTTCAGATTGGTCCTACCTTCCCGATATTCTTCCAAAGCTTCATCTGTTTTCAGTCGCCTAGACCTTATGTATGCTTCCTTTTTCCTCTTTGCTAGTCTCACAATTTCACCTGTCATCCATGGTTCCCTAATCTTGCCCTTTCTATCTCTCATTTTCTCAGGGACATGTCTGTCCTGCACGGTAATCAACCTTTCTTTAAAAGCCTCCCACATATCAAATGTGGATTTACCCTCAAACAGCTGCTCCCAATCCACATTCCCCAGCTCCTGTTGAATCTTGCTATAAGGGATCGAGGCAGGTTGGGAGACTGCCATATCTTTCCTGTCAATAACCTTGTATGTTTCAATAACGTCGCCTCTCATTTTTCTAAACCAGAAAGAGTACAAGTTTAATCTATTCAAACGGGCCTCAAAAGAAATTCTTTTTATACATGGGATCAACCTAGTTTGCCTCCACTGCTGATATATCTTTCCTGAGGTATGGGGACCAAAGCTGTTCACATTATTCTAGTGCTTTGAAGAATTTCAGCATGATTTTGCTATTTTTATACTCTATTCCCTTGAAAATAAAGATGACATTCCTTTTAAGTGATTCACTTTGCTAGGACGCTGTTCCCAGCACAGTTCAAGAGCTGCCTGCCCCTCTGGAACAACTCCCTTCTACCTGAGTACTGGTGCAAGTCCCCATGAACCGAAACCCAGTCCACCCACACCAATCTTCAATCCACACATTTAATTCCTTGATTTTCTTTACCGTACGCCAGTTCAATCGTGGCATAGGTGGCAATCCCAGATGATTACCTTGGAATTTCTGCCTTTTAGCTTAACTCTTAACTGTTCCTTCGTGGAATGAAGGCATCGCTGGCTAGGTCAGCATTTATTGCCCATCCCTAAGTGCAGTTTAGAAGTCAACCACATTGCTGTGGGTCTCAAGTCACATGTATACCAAACCTGGTAAGGATGGCAGTTTCCTTCCTTAAAGGGTCTTAATGAAGTCGATGTTTTTTTTTGTTGAATATAACTTCATGAGAGTGGGGGACCTGTACTCCAGTGAGAGTCAGCACCTTCATGGATTCATGGTCATCATTAGACTCTTAATTTCAGATTTTTTTTATTGAATTCAAATTCCACCAGCTGCCATGGTGGGATTCGAACCTCAGTTCCCCAGGACGTTACTTGGGTTTCTGGATTAATAGTCTAGCGATAATACCATGAGTCCACCACCTCCCCCTGATGTGGATAATGATAACTGAATCCCTCCCCTCTCACTCCAAGATCCTTTCTAGCTCTGAGGAAATATTCTTAAATGGTGATGCCACAAAGGCAACACAGCCTTTCAGACTCTCACTCAGGCCTGCAAAGAACAGTACCTGACCTCCAATTATACTGTCTGATACCACTACATTACTATTTCCTTCCCCGACTTGAATGGCTCCCTGTATCAGTTCTTTCATCCTCCCTGCAGTCCTCACTCTTATCCATAGCTTGTAAGAACTTTATCACTGTTGGACAATTGCAGTGACCGAGGCTCCTCGAGCTGCTCTTGAGACACTGTAATAACTCAGAAAATCCAATTGGAAAGGAATATTGTTTATTCTACTACATATGGTGTACATAGACTAGCCCCAGTCTGGGACAGACAGTTATGCAGACCCATCTTTAAAATTTTTTTTTGAACTATAACTGCTCCTGGTAAAATATGCTTGTTGCCATTTAGATATTTATAAGGAAGACCGTTAGAGGCAATGCAAATTATCAAAAGTGAAGGGAAGAGGTAGGGAGATCTGGGAGGGGCTAAATCAAAATGGAGTTGGAGGGGGAAATAAAGCACTGTATCCCCCGGTGCCTCTCTCTAAAAGTGTTGAGAGCATTGATGGACATCACATGCTCCTTCCCCAAGGATACAAGGGCACAAATGTAATCGCAGAAGAGGGGCAGACAGTTGGTGGGTCTGCTTCATAAAGTTTAAAAGAAGTTTAACCTATTTTCTAACCAACCCTGATCAGAGCTGTTATTACACCCCTTTGGAACAGGTGGGACTTGACCACAAGAGCCCTTTAAGTCTACTTTATTTTTCTTCCTTCGAGTCTCCACCAACCTTCCAAAGAGCTTCCCACCATAACCCCACATTTCCCATGGCTAACCCACCCAGCCTGCACATCCTTGGACACTAATGGTTAATATGCATGGCTAATCCACCGAACCTGCACATGTTTGGCTTGTGGGAGGAAGCCAGAGCACCTGGCAGAAACCCGCACAGACACGGGGAGAACGTGCAAACTCCACACTGTCAGACAGCCAAGGCTGGAAATGAACCCGGTCTCTGGCACTGTGAGGCAGCAGTACCAATCACTGAGCCTGCATGCTGTCCCTATGGGTTTGCTTTATAATATTTTTTTCTAAAATTCACAAGGAGATTAATTAATGATTCTCCAGGGGCCTTGTGGCATTTTTAACCTATTTTTCTAATCAATGTCTTCAGAAATGTTATTACACATGTCTTGAACCCATCCTTCCTTGTCCTGCGGTAGGGACACTACCATTGTGCCACATGAGGGCCAAAGTGATGAGTTCCAGCTGGGTAGGCAGTTGCTTGTTACCAAGGGAACTCATACTCAATGTCCTTCACGGGGAGATTTTTAGTGAATCCCCATGGGCCTTGTCGACTCATACCTGCCTCACCTGCAATCACACTCTCCTGTTCTTAATCACAGACCAAATGTGAATTTCCAAATTTAAAACTTCCTGCAGAAGAGTGTCCAGGTAACTTTACCCCTGCCATGTTGTGGCGCAATGTCTGTAGTTTGGACTCCAGCTTCTCAGTACAGGCCTGAAGTTGCTCAAACTGAAAACACTTGCTACAGAGATAGTAGGAACTGCAGATGCTGGAGAATCCGAGACAACAAGGTGCAGAGCTGGATGAACACAGCAGGCCCAAGCAGCATCATAGAAGCAGAAAGGCTGAATGTGCAGCTCCTATGATGCTGCTTGGCCTGCTGTGTTCATCTAGCTCTGCACACTTGCTACAGGTTTGTTCGCTGTGGAGCACGCTAGTGGCAATCAGCTACAATACATCATCTGATCTGCTATCTAACTTATTAACTAATTACAGCATCCTTGCTCTGTACAGTTGAAGAATCCCCACTGTTTACACTTTTTTAAATTTTGTAATCTACCAGTACCAACTGATACACAACTAATGCTATGTTAGGAAAAAAGAGAAAAATTACTAGAGACCTGAACACAAACTGAATGCCTTACTTTTACTTAAGAGACTAGAAATACTCATCAATCCGACTGATTCACTAGCCTCTTCATTTAGGCAGAAACTTTCAAACAGCTCTGTTCTTCCTCTACTCAACTCTAGTACTCTATTGGAAGTCTCACCGAAATGCTAATTCGTGTAAGTTGGCTACTTATATATGCTCCTAACACAAAAGGCGACTCCGAATCAGTTAATGAGGATCCAGTTTAGATATTTTTGTCAACCCATTCAGAAATGTCATGGCATCTCTGGAGCATCTGGAACTTGAACCCATGACTTCAGGTTCAGAGGTAGGAGCACTACCACTGTGCTACAAGAGCCCCAAGCAGAGCCAGTTTACATTTGTGTTTAATTAGACTGCTCCACCAATGGAATACTTTAAGAGAAATCTTCTTAAATCTTGCAAGTATCGAATCTAATCTCCAGATTTCACCTTCACTCCAGTGTGCAGAAGAGGTTTACCAGAAGGGTTCCAGGGATGTGATTCTTCAGTTATGAATAAAGATTGGAGAAGCTGAGACATTTTTTCCTTGGAGAGGAGAAGGCTAAGGAGAGATTTGATAGAAACTCTAGTCAGAGTAGATAGGGAGAAATTCTTCCCGATTGTAAAAGAATAAAAAAAAACTAGAAGGCAGTGTTATAGAAATTTGCAAAAGAAGAAAATGCAAAGTGAGAAAAAAAACCTTTTCACTCAGTGAGTAGTTGGGGTCTGGAATGCACTGCTTGAAAATGTGGTGGGGACACATTCAATTGAGGCATTCAAGAGGGACATTGGATAGTTATTTAATTGGAAACAGTATGTAGGATTATGAAGAAACAGCAGGAGACTGGCACCAAATCAAAATGCTTAGAGAGCTGGTGGAGTCACGATTGGCCAAATGGCCTCCTTCTGCACTGTAACACTTTGATTCTGTGATAGATAAGATAAAGACAATCTATTTCCTATGGTGGAAGAAGTCCAGAACATGGGGCAATTAAATTTTAAAGTTAGAGCCAAGACATTAAAAAGTGAAATAAAGAACCACTTCTTTAAAGGGTGATGGAAATCTTGAACTTATCACCCAGAAAATGTTCATGTTTGGCTCCGTTGTAAGCTTTGAAGATCCAGATTTTTCTGGGTAAAGCTAGCTTAAATGGGTTTAAGTTACAAATAGCAGGTAATTTATTTAAGTGGCTGATCAGACTTTTCTGCTGAATGACTTTTCCTTGTCTTATATTTCCCTGAATGCAGCTTGAGAGACAGTGTGCTGGAGAACTACTGGTGAGTTGCAGCAGGCCCACGAGGTATATCTACACCATGATGAGATGTACACAATGCAGTCAGTTAGATTAGATACGGCTCAGGCAGGCAATGTTTGATTGCTTTGGGCCATTTACTATTAAAGATGATGTGTTTTTCAATTGATATTAAATGGAACAATGTGCCACTTGAAATGACTAATCCTCCACAACCAGCTGTGTCGAGCTTGGCTCAGTGTCACCCATGACCCGTGATTGCAGTGACTACATTTCACAAGTAACTTATTGGTGATAAAGTGTATTGGACTGTCCTGATGCTGTGCAAGATGCTAACATTGAACTTGTTTTCTTTATTGTTTAGCTGTGGCAGAACCTTTAACTAAATGGCCTGTGCTATTTGTTACAGATTCATTTGTGAACAGCCAGGAGTGGACACTGAGCCGCTCTGTCCCAGAGCTGAAAGTGGTAAGTGATCTCGCCTGGAATTAGTTTGGTTTTGTTTAAGTCAAAATACTCAAACACCGCAATGAGACAATATACCATCAGTTTAAATTTATTGCTTGCTGACTAAAATTTCTGGCCTTGCTGAACCCATTGGCTAATTTTAAGATTATATTTGTCTTTTAAGTGCTGCTTAAGGCCAGGAGAAAGGGTGCTTTGCCATGGTACTCAGAAGCTAATGCGTAAAACTGCGTGCCCGAGTGATCAGACAATATCCACCCAATCAGATCGTGGACTGATGAGATTACAGATAAACAGCAAAATCTTATAGGGTCTGAGTGACATGGGCCCTGGTGAGATGCGTGGCAGGTACAGAAATGTACGGCAAGGCCGATCTCAATGATAAGATTATCTTGTTCCATCTTCTGTGGTTTTCACAAGGGGTGTGGTGAGATTCTCGCCAGGCACCGGTGAGATGTGAATTGGTGCTTGTTATTGATGGCTAAATGCTGTGTTAACAGCCCACCTGCTTCATCAATATTCACACTCCCACCTTACCAAATTCACCAAACAGGCAGATGCCTGGAAAACTTGACAAAGAAATTAAAGCATGTATTTGGTGAGTTCAGCTCGCCACTTGCTCCAGACAACCTCAATGTTGACTGTGAACAAATTGTAGTTGAGGGCACAATTCTTGGGCATTAGCCACGCATGCTCCCCCTCTATGGATATTGGCAGTTGCTATTTTCTAACCGATTGTGACCATTCTGGCACATCTCTGATAGAAGGGCAGTGTGCTCTGGAAGTCAGACTAGCATTGCAGGACACACCAGCAACTTACTTGGAAAGGCTGCAGTGGTGATAGTTTGCGCACAGTGGCGGGCACCCAGCTCACAGATTGGATAGGTTGCATCTCAAGGCTGCTCACTTATTCTCTTAGTGTTCACTCACTTAGCGCTTACCTGCTTCCTCATAATATCCCTGCCTTACCTTCCCATGTCAATTAGCTCAGCCAAACAACCAGACAGTCCTCAGCCTAAGAGACCCACACCTTGTTGTACAACAGTGTACTAAGTCAGTCTCACATCTGCCCCTTGGCCTAATAAAGTCCTAACTGATCCAATCTCTGTACATCAGTCTTGCATCCCAGGAATTAGTGTGTTAAACATTAGCTGCACTCCCTCCATAGCCAGAACATACTTCTTCAGACAAGAAGTTCAAAATTGCGCACAGTACTCCAGGTGTGGTCTCACCAAGGCCCTGTACAATTGCAGCAAGACATCCCTGCTCCTGTACTCAAATCCTCTCACTATGAAGGCCAACATCCCATCTGACTTCTTCACTGCCTGCTGCACCTGCAAGCTTACCATCAGCTGGTATATGAGGACCTGCCCTTTTCCCAACCTATCACCATTCACATAATAATCTGCCTTCCTTTTTTGCCACCAAGCCTCACATTTATCAACATTATACTGCATCTGCCATATATTTGCTCACTCACTTGTCCAAATTACACTGAAACTTCTCTGCATCCTCCTAATGGCATACCCTCTCACTTAGGAGATATGAGATGTGGTTTCCTCATTTACATTATTGTTACAATATATTGTGAAATGCTGGGGTCCTGGCACTGATCTGTGCGGGACCCCATTATTTATTGCCTGCACTTGGAAAAAGATCTATTTATTTCTGCTCTTTGATTCCTGTCTGCCAATCAGTTTTCAATCCATTTCAGTACACAACCTCCAATCCCATGTGTGGAACCTTATCGGAAGCCTTCTGAAAATCCATGTAATCCACATCCATGTAGCTCCTGCTTATCCACTCTACTGGTTACATCCCCAAAGAAATTCTGTCAGATTTCATGAGCACGACTTCCTGTTTGTAAATCCATGCTGACTCTGTCCAATCTTGTCACTATCTTCCAAGTGCTTTTATAAAGGAATCTATCATTTTCCCACTACCAATGTCAAGCTAACCAGGTTATAGTTCACTGATTTCTCAATTCTTTCTCTGCCTTCTTAAGTAGTGGGGTTACATTAGCTGCTGTCCAATCCATAGGAACTGTTACAGTGGTCATAATGTCAGAATAAGGAGTTGCTTATTTAACATAGAACAGTACAACACAGTTGTGCCGACCTATTATCCTACTCTAAGATCAAACTACCCTGCATACCCTATATTTTACTATCATCCATGTGCCTATCCAAGAGTTGCTTACATGTCCCTAATGTATTTTGACTCCACTACCACCGCTGGCAGCGCATTCCACACACCCACCACTCTCTGTGTAAAGAACCTACCTCTGACATCTCCCCTATACCTTCCTCCAATCACCTTAAAATTATGCCCCCTTGTAATAGTCATTTCTGCCCTGGGAAAAAGTCTCTGACTATCCACTCTATCTTTGTCTCTCATCATCTTGTACACGTCTATCAAGTAACCTCTCATCCTTCTTTGCTCCAATGAGAAAAGCCCTAGCTCCCTCAACCTTTCCTTTATAAGACCTGCCCTCCAGTCCAGGCAGCATGCTGGTAAATCTCCTGTGCACCCTCTCTAAAGCTTCCACATCTTTCCTATAATGAGATGACGAGAACTGAACACTCTATTCCAAGTGTGGTCTAACCAGAGTTTTATAGAGATGTAGCATAACCTCGCGGCTCTTAAAACTCAATTCCCTGCCAATGAAAGCCAACACGCCATAAGCCTTCTTAACAACCCTATACGCTTGGGTGGCAACTTTGAGGGATCTACGGATGTGGACCCCAAGATCCATCTGTTCCTCCACACTGCCAAGAATGCTGCCATTAACCCTGTATTCTGCATTCAAATTTGATCTTCCAAAATGAATCACTTCACATTTTTCTGGGTTGAATTCCATCTGCCACTTCTTTGCCCAGCTCTGCATCCTGTCAATGTCCCATTGCAACCTACAACAGCCCTCCACACTATCCGCAACTCCACCAACCTTCGTGTCATCGGCAAACTTACTAACCTACCCTTCCACTTCCTCATCCAAGTCATTTATAAAGATCACAAAGAGCAGAGGTCCCAGAACAGATCCCTTTGGAACACCACTGTTCACTGAGCTCCAGGCTGAATACTTTCCATCTACTACCACCCTCTGTTATCTATTGGACAGCCAGTTTTGTATCCAGACAGCCAAATTTCCCTGGATCCCATGCCTCCTTATTTTCTGAATGAGCCCTCAACAGAGGGCCGTTGAGGCTGGATAATGAAGTATATTTAAGGTTGAGATAAAGAGATTTTTAATTGATAAGGGAATCAAGGGTTTTGGGGAAAAGGCAGGGAAGTGGAATTGAAGATTATCAGATCAACCATGATCTCATCGAAAGGCAGAGCGGACGTAATGGGCTGAATGGCCTACTTCTGCTCCTTCTATGATCTTACAGATGCAAACAGATGGTCTCTTGACTCGCCCCGCAGTTCTCTGAGTGCCAGAAGCCACGGGCATTTCTTCCTTAGATCACCATGGTACTGTCTGAGTGAAGTGCTTACCAGATTGTGTACCCTCACTTTCTGTGATGATGGTTCCCACTGAGTGTCAGTTTCTTGCTGTTGACGAGTCCAGGAGACCTCCACAGTGTCATCCTCAGAGGTTAAGGAGGATTTCCATGGCCTACTTTTTCTGCATTCCACTTGCGGAATATACAGGACAAACGAAAGAGGAAGTGTCTTAGCCTGTGATTAGAAGTGTTGCGCAATGATTGAGAGAGAGAGAAAGCAAGAGAGAGAAACAGAGTGAGAGAGAGGCGGGTTAAAGGAATAATGTCCGGACAATGCAGAGTGGTTCATACTCGTTTGGCAGGACATAGATGTCTTGGCATATTTGCAAGAGCTGTGTTGATCTTCTGAGAGGGCCAGGGTTCTCTTGTAGTGAGGAGGACATGGTCATTGGTCACCCCTGCACTTGTATGGGCTCTTTTTGCCCTAATTTGGGCTGTTTTCTCCTGTAATGAGAAGAAAGGGGGAAATGGGTGAGATGATAGAAGGTGGCATTGTTGTTAGTAGTGGTGCATGTGTGGGAGAGGTGTGGAGATGTATTGAGGGACTGAGGAGACATTGGGAGATGATGTGATGAGTTCAGTTTAGAAGCTTCTTTAGCCACTGGGATAAAAAGTACAAAACACTTGACACAATCCATTCTGTTGTAAAACACAAATGTATGTGTGTGCCAGATCATTTCACTGGATCCTCGACTTCATTTCAGTGCACGATTAGCCCTGGCCAGAGTAGCTGTTTGACATTGCAATAACTGCACAGAGGCTGGTATCCTGTCACCAAGCCACCCTTTATTTACTTTTGCACAGTACACAGCCAGCTTGGAGTCAGTCCTCTGAATTGAGGAGATTCTAAATCCCCTGTTAATATTGGTCAGCCAGGTCCTCCTGATTGGCCCAGGTTAACAACCCCAGTCAAGGATCACATAGTCAACAGGGTCCACCTGGTTCCAATCACTACACATATCTACAATGTTCAGCGACCTCACTTACTCTGGGGCCCGCTTGTGGCACAGAAATAAGAATCCCTACTCCTGGACTGAGAGGCCTGGATCAAGTCCCACTTGCTCCAGAGATGTATAATGTCATCTCTGAATAGGTTGGTTAAGAAAATAGGTTAAATTAAAAAAAAACCCTGACTCACTCTGGGATTTCTCTGTTCATTCTTTCAGAGCCTCTTTTCTTGACCAACTGAGACAAAAGAAAGTTCTCAAAAGTGTGAGGCTTGTTGAACGGGTGAAAAATCATAGAATCATAGAATTCTGCAGTGCAGAAGAAGGCCATTTGATTCATCATGTCTGTACTGACTCCAGAAGGAGTTACCCCAGCTAGTCCCATTTTCCAGCCCTACCTTCATAGCCCTCTAAATTTATCACTTTCAAATATATATCCAGCTTTCTTTTAAAACCTCCTACAGAATCTGCCTCCACCACTCTCCTCGGCAGCACATTCCAAATCCTAAACAACTCTCTGAGTAAAGAAGTTTCTCCTCATCTCGCTGCTAGCTCTCTTGCTGACAGTCTTAAGGTTGTGACTCCTAGTTACTGACATACCAACTGTTGGAAACAGAATATGCTTGGTTGCCCTATCAAAATTCTTCATAATTTTGAGCACCTCAATAAGGTCCAAGGCGAATAAGCCCAATTTCCGTAATCTTTCCTTGTATCTAAAATCCCTCATTCCTGGTATAATTCTAGTAAATCTTGTTTGCAGTCTCTTGAGGGTTGTAACAACTTACCTTAAATAAGGTGTCCAGAACTGAACACAATGCTCCAAATGTGATCTGACCAATGATTTGCAACAGTTTAGCATCACTTTGTTGTATTTCTGTGCTATGCCTTGATTTAAAAACCGAAAAGATCCTATAAGCCTTAACAACTATTTCAACTTGTGTGGCCACCTTCGTGGAATTATGCATGTGAACCCTGAAATCCTTAAAAAATCTGAAATATTTACCTGTTCATAGAATCCCCAAGTGCAGAAATATAAGAACATAAGAAATAGGAGCAGGAGTAGGCCATCTGACCCATTGAGCCTGCTTTGCCATTCAGTAAGATTTATGGCTGATCTTTTTTTGGACTCAACTCCACTTACCTGCCCACTCGCCATAACCCTTAATCCCCTTCCTGTTCAAAAATCTACCTTTGCCTTAAAAACATTCAATGAGGAAGCCTCAACTGCTTCACTGGGCAGGGAATTCCACAGGTTCACAACCCTTTGGGTGAAGAAGCTCCTCCTTTACTCAGTCCTAAATCCACTCCTCCTAATTTTTTGGCTATGCTTCCCAGTTTTAGTTTCACCTGCCAGAAGCCAATTTGGCCCATTGGGTCTTAACCAACTCTCTGAAGAGCATCCCACCCAGATCTGCTCTATCTCCAGAGGGTTTCAGTGTAAAAAAAGCTGTCTATCTGGTATTTAACTTGCCTCTTGAGTGTCCCATAATGTCCAAACTAACCTCTCTGCACCCTCTTCCTTTTTATTATAAATTCATGCATGGGATGCGGGCGTCACAGTCTGGGCCAGCAGTTATTGCCCATTCCTAATTGCCCAGAGGGTAGTTAAGAGTCAAGCACATTGCTGTGAGCATGGAGCCATATGGGTGAGGACGGCAGATTTCCTTCCCTGAAGTTCATTGGTGAAGAAGGGTTTTTGCAACAAATGACAGTACTTGCAAGTTTGCCATTAGACTAGCTCACTGGTTTTATCCCAGATTTTTAGTGAATTCAAATTTACCGTCTGTTATGGCAGCATCCGTGGAGAGAAAGCAGGTCCAGTGACCCTTCTTTAGAACTGTTCCTGAAACGTTAACTCTGCTTCCTCTCCACAGCTGCTGCAGACCTGCTGAGATTTTCTGATTTTGTTCCCAATTTCCAGTATCTGCAGTTCTTTTGCTTTTTTTTCACATCTGTCATGGTGGATTTCGAACCCAGGTCCCAGAACATAAGCCTGTAGGTTTGGTTTACTACGATGCCACTACCAGCCCCTGTTACAGCCCTGTCTCCCCCTCTTCTGTTTCATCTTCCCTCTCCCTCTTTCTCCAGAGCTGAGTCCTACCTGCTTGATAATGCTAATATGAAGCACTTGAGGGCGTTTCAGTTTGCCAGGAGCACAACAGGTTTTTGTGGTTGTCTTCCCTCTTGTTGGCCTCTCCCTCCCTTGTAATGTTTTCTGTTGCATGTTAACAAAAATTGAGGCCAGTTTACCTTAGAATGCTCTATGGGCCCAGTTGAAATGTGAAGAGGACACTATGAACTGGTGTGAAGTTTCTGGGGCATGGCTGGGAGTCAGCAGCCTAGGTATCTATGACTTGATACCTTGTGACAGTGTTGTGTGCCCTCCTACCGATTTCTGTGATTGGTTGTCAGGTACCATCAAGGGCTGTTTGTTCACTTAATTAAGGGGTGGATCTGCACTGCAAACTCTTTTGTCTTGTTTGTGTTGATTTTAGGCTGTACTATGTAATTAATAGTCTTTGCTGACACAGAGCAAAGTGTACAATGACAAGGTAAAACACAGGCCTGATAGCCCTGGTTCGGAGAACAGCAGAGTCAGCGTGTTTAAAAAAAACACTGTAGAAAGTCTCCAATTACATAATGCTCAGGCATCTCATACACAATGCATTACTGTGATTTTATTAAGTACAACCATTGCTGCTTTGTAGAATGAGAAGTCACACCCTGGACGCTCTATTTAAAAAGGATACTTTGGGACTGTGTCCAAGAGGGTGTGTGTGAGAGAGAGAGACCTTGGTTTATCAGTGTGCAGGGAAAAGAGTGATCTAGAGTTTGAATTTCTTTTTAAAATAGTTCAGGAGCTGTGCATGTTGCTGGCTGGGCAAACATTTATTATCTAATCTGTATTTTTGAAACAGTGTGTTCCTTTGACCAGTCATTCTCTGCTTGACTCAGAAACTCGAAGTTATTATGGTGCCGGAGGAGGCCATTTGGCCCATTGTGCCTGCACTGGCTTTATTATCTGGTCGGCAGTTATTATCTGGTGCTACTCTCTGGAACATTGAGGCCACTGTCCTCCACTCATTCTGCAGACTGGGTGAAGTCCAGACTTTTTAATGGCTGTTGTTTTAAGCTGGAGATGTATATGTCCTGGAAATTTGTTTATGAGTGAATATAGGGTGGACTGACTTAGGTGTCTGCAGGGGGTCAAGTGTTTGTGCAGAGTGCGCAAGGCGTTTATATAAACGTGGCCCTCTGATATTAACTCAGAGAGTTATTCTTCTGTGAAGGGAGACATATTCCATGGAAAGAGGAGGCCATGATTGATGTCAGTTGATGACCAAGATCGTTCAGCGTACTCTCTCATATAAATTCTGCACTTTTCTGTCTCTACATAAGCCTGTTTGTGGTGGGAGCTGTCAATATGTCGCTGAACAATATAGCATCTATTTAGCTCCCCCGGATGGCGTCTTGGGAAATAGCACTAGTTGACAACCGAGCCGAGAAAATGTTCACAATCGGTACAACCATGCATTACGTTTGAAATTTAGACACCATTGTTAATTAAATAAACATGGTGACCAATTCATGCATAGCAAATTGGCAACAAAAAGCTATGTGGTAAGTGACTGAATAAGCCGTTTGTGCTGGTATGTTTGAGTGTATACATTGGCCACAGTCTTGGACAAATTTTGTTTCTATTTGTTTATGGGATGTGGCTGCTGACTGGACCAACATTTATGCCCATCCCTAATTGTTCCTTGAAGGTAGTGGTGAGCTGCGTGCATGAACCGCTGCCATCCGTTTCGTGTAGTGACATGCACTACACTGTTAGGGAGGTGTTTCCGGGATTTTTGATCCAGTGACACAGAAGGAACAGTGATATATTTCCAAGTCAGGATGGTAATAGCAAATGGACTGGATTACCTGCAATTGAACCTTTCCCATGATTGTGTAGTTTAATATCAGATGCAAAAGACTTCACCTCAGACACTGCAGCATTTGAGATAGGTTCATAAAATCATGAGGGGCATGGATAGGGTGAATAGCCAAGGTCTTTTTCCTAAGGTGGGGAAGTCCAAAACTAGAGGGCATAGGTTTAAAGTGAGAGGGAAAAAATTTAAAAAGGACTTGAGGGGTAACTTTTTCACACACAGCTGCTGCGTGTATGAAATGAGCTTCCAGAGAAAGTGATGGAGGCGGGCACAATTACAACTTTTAAAAGTTATCTAGATGGGTATATGAATAGAAGGGGTTTATAAAGATATGGGCCGAATGCTGACATATGGGACTGTGTCAGGTTGGGATGTCTGTTTGGCATGGATGAGTTGGACCGAAGGGTCTGTTTTCATGCTGCATGACTCTATGACTATAACAATGCAGCACTCCATCAGTACTAACCCTCCAACAGTGCAGCATTCCCTCAGTGCTGACCCTTCGACAGTTCAGCACTGACCCTCTGACAGTGCAGCATTCCCTCAGCACTGACCCTCTGACAGTGTGGCACTCCTTCAGTACTGACCCTGTGACAGTGCAGCACTCCTTCTCAGTGCTGACCCTATGACATTGCAGCACTCCTCCTCAGTGCTGATCCTCTGACTGTGCAGCATTCCTTCCATTATGCACTCAGGTGTCCACCTGGATGCTGTGCTCAAGTCCCTGAGTGATATTGGAACACAGACTTCCTGACTCAGCTACAAGTATCTTGATTGCCCTTTACTGAATTGATCTATGGATTAGCTTAATTTCTGTCAACAACAACAGTACTTACATTTGTCGGCATTTCTCACAATCTAGGAAATGTATTTGAATAGGAGAGTTGAGTGCTCCTTCCACCTTGTCGCAAGTTAGTAGGATGTCACTGTGATTCTATCATAACTGAACTCAACATGTTTTGTTTGCCAGGGAATCGTGGGAAATCTATCGAGTGGGAAGTCTGCTCTTGTTCACCGGTATTTGACTGGAACCTATGTGCAGGAGGAGTCCCCTGAAGGTACGTTATCTCTCTTGTATTACCCAGACCAGCTATTGTTGGATGCTGTGTAACAGTTGCACCTGTGACTTTCTTCCTATTTGCTGTGCACTATGATAAAGGCATTGATTGGTTACAGTAAGACCTGGAACCTCAGTATTTAATGTGGAGATAATGCTCCAACTGAAGTTGGAGAGTGAACTGTTCCTATATCTCTAGGCCAACTACTCCACTGGTCACAGCATATATTTAACTGATTTACTGATCACTTCTGGAGTCTTGGTATCCATCATTGAAGGCAGTATTTGCTGACATTCATCACAGAGCATGTATAGGAGAAGGGAAATCGGCTCGGTTATGCAGCCTGTGTACCTTGATACTGGAAAGGTTGGGAACCACGGACCTGCAGGCCAATTTTGTGCAGTCACACACTCACACGATCAGTGTTGAGGGAGCACTGTTGTGCCAGAGGGACAGTACTAAAGGCTCATCACACTGTTGGAGGATTTGTACTGAAGGAATGGGCACTGTCAGAGGGCTAATACTGAGTTTGCACCGTGCTGTTGCAAGGTCATTAAGGAGGCATGAAGCACTGAGATTTCTCATTTACAACAGAGATTAAATTTTTAAAAAATTGTCTCAGTAGATTGTGGATCTTTGGGACTCTGTCCTTGCAAAAGTGGTGGAAGCAGAACCTTTGAACATTCTTATGGCAGGAGTAGATAGACTCTTCTTAGTGAGATAAGGGTTATCAAGATAGGCAGGAATGTGGATTTGAGGTTACCATCTGAGGATGTTGCACTTAAATGCATGCATGATACGAAATGAGGTAAATGAGCTTGTAACGCAGATTGAAATTGGCAGGTATGGTGTTGCAGGCATCAGAGACATGGCTGCAAGGGAATCACACTGGGGACGAAATATCAAAGGATACGCACCCTATTGAAAGGACAGGTAGATGGGCAGGGGGCAGGGTTGCCTTGTTAGTAAGAAATGAAATTAAATTCATAGCAAGAAGTGAAATAGAGTTGGAAGGTGTAGAACCTATGTGGCTAGAGTTGAGGAACCATAAAGGGAAAAAGACCCTGATGGGACCAGTATACAGGCCTCCTAACAGTAGTCAGATGTGGGGCAGAAAATAAATCAGGAAATAGAAAAGGCATGTAAAAAGAGCATTATTACAATAATCATACAATGAGCTTCAGGTGGACTAGGAAAATCAGGTTGGTAGCAGAGCTCAAAAAAGGGAATTCACGGAATGTCTACAAGGTGGTTTTTTTGGAGCAGATTGTGGTAGAGTTCACTGCGGAACATACAATTCTGGATTTAGTGATGTGTAATGAGGCAGCCTTGATTGGAGAGCTGAAAGTGAAGGAACACCTAGGGGGACAGTGACCATAATATGATAGAATTCACCCTGCAGTTTGGGAGGGAGAAGATTGAAGCGGATCTAATGATATTACAATTCAGTAATGGTAACTAGAGAGACATGAGGGAGGAGTCTTTACATGCCCTCCATCCTTATGAGATGAAATGCCATTAAAAAAATGTTTAATCACAAAACATGTGATACAAAACAAAACACAAGACTTATATCCATTCATCCTTCCTCCCGCTTTGTATAACCTTGTATAATCTTAGCATTTCTTCAACCTTTAAGTTATTCCGTCATTTTACACTCATGACAAGGCATCTGCAATTAGACTTCATTTTCTAGTAGAGTGAAATACCTTTATATTGAATTATTTAAAACTCAAAATGGAATTCTTTTCAGATGGATTTTTGTTTCAAAATCCATCCGAATAGAATTCCATTTTGACTTGCAAACTTTTCAATGAATGTCAGTGCATTTTAATCAGTGTAAATTAATGTTTCCTATTAAAACGTCAAAAATGACTTCAAAGTGTTGAAGAGGCAACAGTAATCTCAAAATCTCTTTTCCTGCTGTAGAGTACTTCTTCTGATACTGGTTTCGTTTCTTAGGGAAGTATTCCACTGGCTTCTCTACTCCCGACTCCTCATCCTGTAACAAGACTGCACCTAACCCCATCTTCAGTATCGATCGCCATCCAATCAATCTGGAAAAATCAGGGACAGCTAATGCTCCTACACTCTTGTTACAGGACAATGACCTTCTGTACCTCAATTATAGGTGTTTTCCTAGCTTTGCCAACAACCTTTGCTTTGAAGGTTCTCTTAAGACTATCACAGGCAACTCTGCCACCCAAAGAAAATCCTTTACTGTTACCTGAGCTATTTCTTAAATTCAGTGCAGAACCTGGCACTTTCCTTTGCCTGTGTTATTTAGCAATTACATGCCCAAAACCTTAATGCCCCTGTATCAAAATTAAGCTCTGAAATTTGTCATGCCTCACTTGAGTTGTCCGTTGGATATCAAGCTTCACTATACCCGGAGTCATCGCAAAAGTTAAATATTGTAACCAAATTATCCAAAATTTTTCAATATACCCATCATTCAGACCCAGGAATGTGTCAGGCTGTGTAGATCTTTCCATAGAGCATAGCTGTCTATGCAGACTATTCGCAGGAGTGTGAGGGCTGTGCTAGAGTTGGTTTGTGAAGGCTCTTTCTGCGAGTAGGTTGGTCTGTGCAGAGTTTTCCCAGGAATGGGTTGGTGGGGTGCACATATTCTCAGGAGTGGGTTGGTCTGTGCAGAGTATCCCTGGACCATGGTGGTCTGTATAGTTATTCTTGGGAGAGAGTCGGTCTGTATAGATTGATTGATTGATTTATCGTTGTTACGTACTGATAAATAGTGAAAAGTGTTGTTTTATATTCTACACAGGCAGATTGTACCATACAAAGTGCATCAGGGTAGCAGAACAGCACGCAGAATACAGTGTTACAGCCACAGAGAAGGTGCGGAGAGAGAGATCAGAATTGATGTTTGAGAGATCTTTTCAAAAGTATGATAACAGCGGGAAGAATCTGCTTTTGAAACTGTTCATTCATGTATTCAAACTTTTATATCTTGTGCCCAACAGAAGAAGTTAGAAGAGAGTATAACCTGGTCGGAGGGATCTTTGATTAAGTTGGCTGCTTTCCTGAGGCAGCAGGAAGTATAGGTGGAGTCAATGGATGGAAGTCTGGTTTACTAGGTGGACTGGGCTGTGTTCAGGACCCTCTGTAATTTCTTGCGGTCTTGGGAAGAGCAGTTGCCATGCCACCATATGACCATAAGACATAAGAGCTGAAGTTAGGCCATTCGGCCCATTGAGTCTGCTCCACCGTTCAATCATGGTTGATGAGTTTCTCAACCCCATTCTCCTACTTTCTCCCCATAACCTTTGATCCCCTTGACAATCAAGAACCTATTTATCTCTGACTTAAACATACTCAATGACCTGATCTCCACAGCCCTCTGTGGCAATGAATTCCATAGATTCACCACTCTCTGGCTGAAGACATTTCTCCCCATCTCTGTTTTAAAGGGTGTTACATTCACTCCAAGGCTTGGCCATGCCCTTGGGTCCTAGTCTTTCCTGCTAATGGAAACATCTTCCCAACATCCACTCTGTCCAGGCCATTCAGTATTTTGTAAGTTTCAATTAGATCCCCCCTCAAACTTCTAAACTCCATCGATTTTAGACCCAGAGTCCTCAAACATTCCTCATATGTTAAGCTTTTCATTCCTGGAATCATTCTCATGAACCTCCTCTGTACCACCTCTAGGGTCGGTACATCCTTCCTGAGGAATGGGGCCCAAAATTGCTCTCAACATTCTAAATGTAATCTGACCAGAGCCTTATAAAGCCGCAGAAATACATCCCAACTTTTATATTCTAGTCCACTCAAAATAAATACTAACATGGTAGTTAGGAAGGCAAATACAAACCTAACCTGCAAATTTGCCTTAAGAGAATCTTGGATTAGGACTCCCAAGTCCCTTTACACTTCAGATTTATGAATTTTCTCCCCATTTAAAAAATAGTCTATACCTCTATTCTTCCTACCAATGTGAATGACCTCACACTTTCCCACGTTGTATTCCATCTGCCACTTCTTTGCCCACTCTCCTAACCTGTCTAAATTCTTCTGTAGCCTCCCTGCATCTTTAATGCTACCTATCCCTCTATCTTTCTTTGTATCATCTGCAAAACTTAATCAGAATGCCCTCAGTTCCTTCATCTAGATCATTAATGTACAAAGTGAAAAGTTATGGTCCCAGCACTGACCCTTGCGGAACACCACTAGTCACCGGCTACCTGAGAAAGACCCTTTTATCCCCACTCTCTGCTTTCTGCCAGACAGCCAATCTGCTATCCATGCTAGCACCTTGCCTCTAACACCATGGGCCCTTATCTTATTCAGCAGCCTCCTGTGCAGCACCTTGTCAAAGGCCTTCTTGAAGTCCAGGTAGATAAAATCCATTGGCTGTCCTTGGTCTAACCTGCTTGTTACCTCCTGAAAGAATTCTAGCAGATTTGTCAGGCAAAACCTCCCTTTGATGAAACGTTTTTACCATGCACTTCCAAGTATTTGCTGTGCAAATACAAAGCCATGCTGTGATGTATCTGGATAGAATGCTTTCTATGATGCATCTGTAAAATTTGGTCAGAGTCCTTGTGGACATGCCAAATTTCCATAGCCTCCTGAGAAAATAGAGACGATGATGGTCTGTGCAGAATATTCCCGGGAGCATGTCGGTCTGTGTCGAGATTTTCCAAGAACCAATCGGTATTTGTAGAGTATTTCATAGGGTCTACATGTGACTCTAGACTCACAACATTGTGGCTGAGGGTGAACTGAGCAAGAAATTCCATTCAAGACCAGTTTGAGGTGGGCAACAAATGCTGGCTCATGCCAGCAATGCCCACAACCCATGAAAGAATAAAAGGCCTGAAGTGGGATTTGAACTATCAGAGAAATGAGTGCTAGCCACTGAGCCACAGCCTTGAGAGTGTTTTTTTATATTACAGGTGGCCGTTTTAAGAAGGAGATTGTGGTTGATGGTCAGAGCTACCTCCTGCTTATCCGAGATGAGGGAGGACCTCCGGAGGTACAGGTAAGCAATGACACTCCAGCACAATGTGACTCAGTGTTTCCAGTCACAACCAGTTGTATGCTCACTAACTTCTCCCAGATCAGCACTAAGAGAGAGGTGAGCTGTTCAGTATTGGACCCTGGCTTCTATTTTGGAAGAGCAGGAAAGTCGATGTTTTGGGTCTTCAGAGGAGCAGGAAAGTCAACATTTCAGATCATAGAATATAGAACATAGAATTCACTAGCTTCAAAATCTCCCCATCCCGGGCCTCATCCCATGTCCAGCCCTCCCTCTCATCTCCACCCCTTTGACCTGTCACAACCTGTCCATCTTGCCTCTACCTATCTGCTCCACCCTTCCCATTGACCAGTCTCTACAACCCTCTACCTACATCAACCTATCACCATCCTACCTACCTTCTCCCAGCCTCACCCCCTCCCTCTATTTATTTCTGAGCTTCCTTCTACCTTCCCCCTCCCCATTTCTGAAGAAGGGTCCCGACCTGAAACATTCAGTTTCCTGCTCCTCTGATGCAGCCTGGCCTGCTGGTGTTCCTCCAGCTCCACACAGGCAGGAAGTATAGTTGTGGGAATGCCACAGGACAAGTAATCCAGAGACCTAATTGATGCGCTGGGGACCTAGGTTCAAATCACTTCATTGTGGATGGTGAAATTTGAATTCAAATTTAAAAATAAATCTGGAATTAAAAGTTTTTTTAATGAGACTGTGTAACCATTGTCAATTGTCGTAAAGGAAGGAAATCTACCATCCTTACTTGGCTGGGCTTAATTGTGACTCCAGACCCACAAGAATGTGGTTGACTCTGAACTGCCCTCTGAAATGGCTTGATAAGGTATTCAGTTGTATCAAACCGCTACAAAGTCTCAAAAAAGAAATGAAACTGGACAGACCAGCTGGAATCGACCTAGGCACTGGAATTGACAACTTCAAACACAATCCTCTCAGCCCTGCGAAGTCTTCTTTACTAGTATCTGGGAGCCAGTACCAAAGCTGTCTCACGGATGAGTTAAACAAGAGTCTGGCATAGTGATGATTATGGAATCATACCTTACGGACAATGCCCCAGGCACCACTATCACCACCCCTGGGTATGTCCAGCAGGACAGACCCAGCAGATGTTTCAGAATAGTGAATTCCAGTCATGAGGGACTTAGTTTGGGGGTCCTCAAAATTGTCTTTGGATCCCAAGAGGTCTCATGGCATCAGGTCAAACACAGACAGAGAAATTTCCTGTTGATTATTGTGTACCACTGTCCCTTAGCTAATAGACCCTTGCTTCTGTAATATATCTGAGAAGTTATTTGTGCAATTTTCTGTGAAGATGAGTAGATGAAGTTTTGTTTGGATGATTGAAGAGAAGCAAAATAAAATTAAGGATATAATTTTTATATGGGTGCCTGACCAGAGAGGACTTTGCTCAAAATTTCCCCTCTGGTCAGGATCTAATGAGAATTATATCCTTAATTTTATTTTTCTGATAGTGCAGCACTCCACCCTAAATGCCTTCCGTGGTAATTTTCAGATTGAGAAAATCGTTAAAAAGGCATGTGGGTCCTGGATTTTATAAATTGAACCATAGAGTACAAAATCAAGGAAGTTATAATAAACCTTATAGCATAATTGGCTGTTTGACAGAAGATAGTGAGCCATGACAAAAGATGTTTTTCAAGCTGGAGGAAGGTTTGTAGTGGAGTTCCATTAGGGTTATTGTTAGGAACCTTGCTTCTCCTGCTCTATATTTTATTATCTAGATCTTAGTATACAGGGAATTATTTCAAAATTTGTGGATGATTCAAAATATGGACACAGTGTGATCTGTGGGGAGGATAGTGTAGAATTTCAAAAGGATATAGGCAAATGTTTGGAATAGGCAGGCATATCACAAGTGAAGTTCAATGTGGAGAAATGTGAGGTGATTCATTTTTGTAGGAAGAAGATGAACGTGGATAACTAGGGATGGGTAATAAATGTTGGCCCACGCAGTGAAGCCAACATCCCATGAACTATAAAAAATGACAACCTAAAAATACAGGGTACAAATCTAGAGAAGGTGCAGAAGCAGAAGAACCTGAGTGTATGTTTGTCATTAAAGGTAGAAGAACAGTTTGAGAGTGATGTTAATAAAGTAAACAGGATCCTAGGCATAGAGTGCAAGAGTGAGGAAGCAGTGTTGAAATTGTATAAGACAGTAGCTTGGCTTCAGCTCCACAGGTTTCCACACCTGTCAAGACCCTAAAAATCTTTAATGTTTCAATAATGTCTCCTTGCATTCTTTTAAACTTCAACTAGTATGAACCCAAACTACTGAACATGTCCTCATAATAAAATCTCTCCATACCCAGGATCAACCCACCGAACCTTCTCTGGACTGCCTCCAATACCAGTATATCTTTCCTTTGATAAGGGACCTACACTGTTCACAGAATTCTAGCTGTGTTCTGACTGGTGCCTTGCATAGTTTTGGCAAGACCTCCCTAATTTTATACTCCATTCTTCTTTAAATAAAGACCACATTCCATTTGCCTTCCCTATTACCCTGCTGAACTAGGATGCTAGCTTTTTAATTCATATGTGAGGACTCACAAATCTCTCTGTTCCATAGCATTCTGAAATCTTTCCCCTCTTACATTATATTCAACTTCTCTGTTCTTCCTGCCAAAGTGCATAACCTCTCATTTTCCCAAATTATGTTTCATCTGCCAAGTTTTGACTCACTCATTTAACCTGCCTGCATCCTTCTGTAGACTTTTTGTGTCATCCTCACCACTTGGCTTCCCACCTATTTCTGTGCCATCACAAATTTGACTGCATTCACTTTCCTCATCCAAGTCAATGTGGGCCCAGTACTGATCCCTGTGACACTCCACAAGTTACAGGTCACCACCCTGAGAAACCTCCCTTTATCCCAACTCTCCGTCTTCTGTTACATAGGAACATAGGAATTAGGAGCGGGAGAAGGCAATTCAGCCCGCCAATCCGCCCCACCATTTAACATTATCATAGCTGATCTTAAATTAGTCGCAACTCTATGCTCCTGCCTGATCCCCATAGTTCTTTAGCTGCTTTTCATCAGAAACATATCTGTATCTTTCTTGAATCTATTGATTGTTTCTGCCTCCACTGCACTCTGGATGGTAAGTTCCACAGATTCACAACCCTCAGAGTAGTTTCTCCTCATCTCGGTTTTCAACCTACCTCCTCTCACTCTGTATCTATGACCTTTTTTTCATGACTGTCCCACAAGGGGAAACATCTGTTCAATATCCACCTTATCAGTCCCCTTTGGCATTTTATATACCTCAATCAAATTCCCCCTCATTTTACTGAATTCCAGCGAGTATAAGCCCAAACTGTTCAGCTGCTCCTTATATGGCAGCCCCTTCATTCAACCTGGTGAACCTCCTCAAGTAAGGAGACGAAAACTGGACACAATACTCCAGGTGTGATCTCACTAATGCCTTACATAATTGTAACAACACTTCTTTACTTCTATAATCTAGGCTTTTTGCAATAAATGCTGGGATTCCATTTGCCTTTCTTATTATATGCTGCACCTGCAAACCCACTGTCTGCGATTCATACATAAGATGCCCAGATCCCTCTGCACGGATGCAGTTTGAATCTGCAACTCATTTAAATAATAATTTGTCCTTTTACTTTTCTGGCCAAAATGGATAATCTCACATTTATCGGCATAGAACTCATAGATTCAGAGTCATACAGAATGGAAACAGACCTTTCAGCCCAACCAGTCCACGCTGAACACAATCCCAAACTAAACTAATCCCACCTGCTTCCTCCTGGCCCATATCCCTCCAAACCTCTCCTATTCTTGAACTTATCTAAGTGCCTTTTAAATGCTGTAACTTTGCCTGTATCCACCACTTCCTCAGGAAGTTCATTCCACTCACGAACCAACCTCTGTGTAAACAATTTACACCCGTTCTTTTTTAAATCTCTCTCCTCTCACCTTAAAAATATGCCCCCTAGGCTTGAAATTCCCCTATCCTAGGGAAAAGGCACCTACCGCTAACCCTATCTATATCCTTCATGATTTGATGAACCTCTATGAGGTCATCTCTCAACCTCCTACACTCCAGTGAAAAAAAGTCCAAGCCTATCCAGCCTTTCTTTATAACTCAAGCCTTACATACCTGGCAACGTCCTGGTAAATCTCTTCCCCTCTCTAGCTTAGTAATATTGTTCCTGTAACAGGGCAACCAGAACTGGACACAGTTCTGGGTGCTGACAAAGAGTTTCGGCCCGAAACATTGACTTCCCTGCTCTTCAGATGCTGAATGACCTGCTGTGCTTTTCCAGCTCCACATTTATTGACTCTAGCTTCCAGCATTAGCAGTGCTTACTGTCTCCAACAGAACTGGTCATAGTTCTCCAGAAGAGGCCTCACCAATGTCCTGTATAACCTCAACATGACTTCTCAACTCCTATACTCAAAGGTAAAGGGATCTTGATTAAATGGGTCAATGGGCTGAAAAATGGCAGATAGAGTTCCATCTGGATGAATGTGATATATTGTATTTTGGTACAACAAACAGGGGTAGGACTTATACAATTAATGGTAGGGCCTTGGGCAGTGTTGTAGCACAGAGGGACCTAGAGGTTCAGATACATAATTCTTTGAAGTTTCCCTCACACACAAGGTGGTTAAAAAGGCATTTAGCATGCTTGCCTTCATTGCTCAGTCCTTTGAATGTAGGAGTTTGAGATTAAGTTTGGCATGGACTGGTTGGACCAAAGGGTCTGTTTCCATGTTGTATGACTCTATGACTGAGGAATGAAGGCAAGTGTGTTAAATGCCTTTTTGACCACCTTGTCTACATGTGCTGCAAACTTCAAAGAATTATGTACCTGAACCCTTAGGTCCCTCTGTTCTACAACACTACCCTAATGCTGGATTCTGGCCTATTCTCCTAGCCGATCAATATCTGGTTAATTCGCTTCCAGTAAGATGGTGGTGGAGTAGGGCTTTTGAGCCCAGG